ACCTAAAAAGAACTCCGACGAACAAACCATTTTGTCTTAATTTTATTATCAGAATCTTCTATGTCTTTTGACCTACATTATCTTGCCTATGATGGCTACTTGGCACTATGAAGAAACAAATGCTTCATTGATGATGATGGTTAAAGCAATTCAGAGGAAATGTCCGTCACAGTGTCTTCTCTGTGATACTGGTTTAACATAATTCGTTTTGAAAGTTTACATTTTACAATAAAAATGTATACAGAAAGAATTAATGTTTGTACCAGACAGTGCAAGTTTTTTTTTTTTCAAATACTTCAAAATTATATTTATTTTTAAAGAGTCAAACAAGCGTTTGGGAAGTTATTTAAATTTCCAATGTTTTATTGACGTTAAGAAAATTGTTGCAATCACAACATTTGTAGAGCATAGTGTTTGTTTGTAATTAAGCACAAAGCTACACGATGGGCTATCTGTGCTCTGCCCACCACGGGTATCGAAACCCGGATTCTAGCGTTGTAAGTCTGTAGACATACCGCTGTGCCACTTGGGGGCAGAGCATAGTGTTAGTAATGTAGTAAAATCTCGTGCGTCGTGAATTTGTTATTACCATTAAAAACATTGGGCACAAAAAAACAGACGTCATTTTGTGGCTTTACAACAAAAATCTTGGTTCAAACTAGAAAATTTTCAACGATTTCTTGTTGATGTTATGCCTCTTTTTATTTTACGTTTTTTGTTTGTTTGTTTAAGTGAGTTGCATGGAATCATGTCTTTGGGTGTACATTCTGTTTACTTCTGATGAAAAGCAGAGCAATTTTAATAGCTAGGTAAAATACACATTTCAGAATTTTTCTTATCTGCTTCCCTATTCTAGGACACTATTTTTATTCCTGCAGTACTTTTCGTTCTCCAGTGGAAAGCGGTTAGTTAACGGACTTACAACACTAAAGTCCGGGGTTCGATTTTGCGGTGGACACAGCAGATAGCGCAGTGTGGCTTTGTTCTAAAAAAAACAAGCTAATATTACTTTTCATTGTTAATTTTGTAATTTCGTATCTCTACCTACAGTACTTTTCATTGTTATGTATGTAAGGTAGAATCTCTATCTACAGTGCTTTTCGTTGTTATGTATGTAATGTAGCATCTCTACCTACAGTGCTTTTCGTTGTTATGTATGTAAGGTAGAATCTCTATCTACAGTGCTTTTCGTTGTTATGTATGTAATGTAGCATCTCTACCTACAGTGCTTTTCGTTGTTATGTATGTAAGGTAGAATCTCTACCTACAGTGCTTTTCGTTGTTATGTATGTAATATAGCATCTCTACCTACAGTGCTTTTCGTTGTTATGTATGTAATGTAGCATCTCTACCTACAGTGCTTTTCGTTGTTATGTATGTAATGTAGCATCTCTACCTACAGTGCTTTTCGTTGTTATGTATGTAATGTAGCATCTCTACCTGCAGTGCTTTCATCACTCACCTCTAGCTACGGTACTTTTCAGTATTAGTACTATAGAACCTTCTTCTTCATCTTTTATATTAAGCACAAAGCTACACAATGGGCTACCAAAACGGGTATCGAAACCAGGTTTCTAGCATTATAAGTCCGCAAACATACTGCTGTGACACTGGGAGGCTCTAAATGTATAAATATACCTTTAGTTTGCATATGTAAATATTGGGTCATACGGAACTAAACCTCACACTTGTTTATATTCATTGGATTATATGGATGATATATTACATATTAGCATAGTTAGAAAAAATATAATGAACTTCTACAGTATTTAGCTTTGAATTAATGTTCTTAAAAGTAATTTCATTGTGTTTTTAAATACCTATTTCAAATAATTTGGACACCTGTACGGGGAACGGTTAATTCAGCTAGTACATAATATGCCTTATTTTTATGTGAGTTGTCAATAAATGAGCTTCTGCGAATTTTTAAAGGTCTATTTCTAAAATCTAGTTCCTCCCATAAACCTAAATCAGAGAACTATAGTTCCTCCCATAAAACTAAATCAGAGAACTAGTTTTTAACTCATGAGAATTAAAAAGGCATTCAATATCACAAAGTTGTAACCATAACTTTAACAGGTATCTGTTCATTAAACCACTGACTGCTTATCAGTACAATAACGACTCTCCCAACATCACCCAGTGACAAGAGTGAGCTACTCCAACCAAATCCATAAACCACGTGCCTCTAGTAGGAATTACACCGGCTGAGCCATAGGTGCTCGTGAGGTTCTCGTGTAGGTTTCAAAAACTCTTAGTCCAGCTTGTACACCCACGTGGAAACGTATGCATCAATGATACTGGAAATATTGTCTCTCTTTCATGTGTTAGTCGCATTATCAGCTGGAGGTGGGTTGTTAATAAATGTATTCTATATTATATAATTATACTATCAAGGAATCTAATATTATCAGTTTGAAGTAAAACTAAAACACTGGTGTTCATGTTCGTTAAACGTGAAGAAGCTAAATATGTATTTTCATCAGTTTCAAACTTTCTTAATAAACGCTTTGTTATGAGATTAATTAAATCAGAGATTTTGGTTCTAAAAATTAATATTGCTATTCGTTTTTATTTACATAGATATTAAGAAAATATTAACACATTACTATTTCGGGAATTTTTGAATAAACAATTGAATGTGACAAACATCGATAACATTAACTGGATGAAAGTTCCAATGTTTGCTCGAGTTTTCGAATTGGCATAACAATTTAAAGCTTTCATTCTTGCTACAGTTGACAAGAAAAAGAACTTAATGCTAATGAAATATGAACAATTTTATTTGACTAACAAATTTATTTAAAACCTATTATATTTTTGTTCTGTAGTTCATGTGGTTTGTATTTACAGCAGCTTTTCCAACCTTTGACATGTAAAAGCTGTATTTGAATTTACGACTTTGTATTATGTTTGAAATAGTTTGACTTATACTAAACTACCGAATGGACCCACGTCTCGCAGGCCCCCCAGTGGCACAGCGGCATGTCTGCGGATCTATAACGCTAGAAACCGGGTTTCGATACCCGTGGTGGCAGAGCACAGATAGCCCTTTGTGTAGCTTTGTGCATAATTACAAACAAACAAACCCACGCCTCGCAAAGCATTTATTTCTTTGACTTCACGGGGATGGCGGGACGGCGTGCATCATTCGCCAAACAGGTCTACTGAACACGGGCGATCAGCAAAATAACCCATATTATGCGCGGCATTAAACGCTGTTTTCGTTTGGAATTGGCCTCACGTGTTAACAATTGAAATAGCTCACCAACTCGAACCGTTTTTTTTCTGATTACTTAGCCGTTTAAATACGATCTTTGTGGCAGGAATCGAGTTTAAACAAATTCAGTTCCTCAAAGTAATTTTTGATGAGAGCGATATAAAAATGTTTTAAAAGTATTTATTATTGTTAATTTAAAACAAATAAATATTATAATATTTGCATAAATTACACACGCCATTAATTAGTTTGAAGACTAAAAATGATTCATATTAGTCGTTTTTATCTGCCGAGAAAGGTATCTTATTGCTTAATAAGTAAATTCAAAAACACTTTGGTTAAGGCGCTCGATTCGCGCCCCCCCAGTGGCACAGCGGTATGTCTGCGGACTTACAACGCTCGAAACCGGGTTTCGATAACCGTGGTGGGCAGAGCACAGATAGCCCATTGTGTAGCTTTATGCATAACTAGATATAAACAAACAAAATCGCTCAACTCGCAATCTGAAAGTCGCGGGTTCGAGTCCCCGTCCCACCAAATCATGCTCGCCCCTTCAGCCGCGGGGGCGTTATAATGTCACGGTCAATCCTACTATTCGTTGGTAAAAGAGTAGCCCAAGAGTTGGCGGTGGGTGGTGATGACTAGCTGCCTTT